TGCCCTAAGATTACTCTCAGCGACGACGACACAGACTCTCATTCTCTCAACTTGGACATCAGAAACGGCAGCCTGTGATTTGCCTCCTTCTCAAACCGATGGATGAACGACCTTCACAAGACGTAGCACCTTCGAGCCCTTGACTTCTCAAGACGCGGAGCCGACAGTAGACTTTCGAGTTTGAGTTCACATTTCCACCGACAATTCGACGACAGAAGAAGAAGGTAAAGCCCCTGATTCTGATTCCTGAAGCCTACTCAAGTTTTTCTTAACCTTTGTTTCTGTTATTTACTTATTTTGATTTGTGTTTTATTTACTGTTGTAATTTTTTATTTTTAACTTATGAAATTACTTTTGAATTGCTATTGAATTTTTTTGCAATTGCTCTTGAAATTACACCTCGAAGCCTCTGGCCTGTGAAGCCCTCGAGCCTGATTCGGTGATTCCTAAAGCCTGGTCAACTACTCAAGTCTCGATGTACTCTGTGACTGTGATTGTGAGTTTGCTTACTTTGTCTCTCCTATAGTTGAAGCCATGCTATGATGTCTGAAATTATAGCATGAAGTCATTACTTGTTAATCCATTCTTGTCAGTAGAAAAAACTAATATATTGTGCAATGGAAATGGAAACTTGAGAATGAAGTTTGTAACTTTAGTTCCAGTTGCCAAGAGGAAGGACAGAAGTATGAATTTGAGAAAAAAAAATAGAGATTTAGTATTCAAAGATGAAACACAGTGATTGAGAACTTCCAATAAAGGAACTAAAGTAATCCCAATAATAGGAAATTTCACCTGAATTGGAGATGTTGTTCCTGGTCTTGTCATGAACATTAGCTGCCATCTACCTTGAATTAAACTTGAACTTGTTTGTCCAGTCAATACATTCTCACTCAGCATCACTATGCACAAATTATCATGAAATATTATAAATTGTGATCACACGAATAAACCTAAAGAACATGGTGATTGAAATTTGCAATCTAAAGGTCTTACGTTAAGATTGAAGCATTACAGTTTCACAAATTTAGGAAAAGAAAACCAAAAAATTACAATAACACGAGAGTGAAAAAAATTAACAAATCTCAAAAGCTGATTAGACTAAAATTTTGTCAGCACATAAAAAGCAATTGGAAAAGGATTTGTGTCTTAAGATTAGTCTTTTGAACATTTTGAAGGACAACATTCAATTTTAGAGTGGATGATAGCTACACTATTTAAGGAATACAAATTGATTCTGTATGGCAACTCCTAATTAACTTATTTCATTTTGGTAAGATATATTTCGTAAAACTTTACTTCATTTAGTTTTATTACTTTTTATTAATGATTTTTTTTTTTGGTCATAATATGAGGTCTGGTCTAGTTGTATAATTAGTACGCTTGAAGCATTTGGAGATTATGGCATCGGACCGCAGTTGGATGTTGAATCGATCAGATGAAGGATTTCTTTTGGACAGATTCATTGAAGGTGTTGAAGAGTTCATTGAATTTGCCATGTCTTGAACAAGAGATGGAGATATGATCAAATGTCCATGTTCTATATGTAAAAACACGAGATTTCTAAAAGGAGATGATGTGAAATTTCATCTTTACAAATATGGATTTACAATGGGCTATACACAGTGGAACGCACATGGAAAACCATTCAGTTTCAATGGTCCAAATTTGGCTGAATCCTCAACTGTACAAGCTCTGACCATTGAGAGCCATGAAGCAATGGTGATAGATGCTATGGGCCCTGAAATGTACCATAATTATTGTGCTCAAGAGGAACAAACCCCTAATCAACATGCTACAAATTTCTTTACACTATTAGAAGAAGCTGACAAACCCGTGTGGCCTGGTTGTACTAAGCACGCAAACCTTTCTACTATGGCACGACTCTTGAATCTGAAGTCTGAGTTTAATATGCCTACAACATGTTATGATCGTATGTTGTCTATCATTAAGGAAACTATGCCAGAAGGTGACCTGTTAGAAGTTACGTTCTATAAAACAAAGAAAATGTTGTCCAGTCTTGGCCTTGGTGTTATGAAGATCCTGCTTGTGTGAATGATTGCATATTGTACTACAAAGAAACCGAGAGCACGACTCAGTGTCTTACGCGTTTGAGTCCACGATACAAAGAGAAGATGTCTCGATCTGGACATATGGTACCTCAGAAGGTACTACGATATCTACCTCTAGCTTCTAGGCTTCAACGGTTATATATGTCGAGGCACACTGCAGAGCACATGTTATGGCATTCAAAGAATCAATTAACTGATAATGAAATGTTACACCCCGTACACAGTGAGGCATGGAAGCACTTTGATAGAACTTTTCCTCAATTTTCCCTTGACCCACGTAGTGTACGCCTTGGTTTATTAACTTCAGTTCATGTTTTTAGTTTCTTGTTCTTGTCGTTGTTCATATTTTTCTTTGGCTGAATGTAGGAAACATTTGACATGTTTATGAAAAATGGAATAATGGCTAGGCTAGACAGGAAGCTAGGTGATATTTTGGTTCAAGAGACTGGGTAGTGGTGTATGCCAACTCAACTCAATTTGACAGGTGGGGTTTATTTTATCTATGTTAGACAAATTTAGTTAAATAGTAAAATCATGTTTATGGTATCTATATTTGAGAAATTGAGTAATTTTGACAAATGATGAATCAGGAACTTGGAATTGGAGATACCACAAAAGCTGGAGCCATGAATCAGGAACTTATAATTTTTTTTTTTGTTTCCTTTCAATCTGAAAGGAAATGAGTGCAAAAAAACTGCCTTTTTTTTAATGATACTTTGTGCTTTTCTGTCAATAACAACTGCAGACTTTACAACCATTTTGGATGGTGTATTTTGTGCTCCTTATTGCATTGAACTATGGTTGATTCAGTTGTACTTTTCATTGAATACATTTGATCCATCTATGACAGCTTAAGCATTGAACTATGGTTGATTCAGTTGCACTTTTCATTGAATTCATTGAATGCATTTGATCCATCTATGCAGGAGAAGAATGGATCAGAATGTTGGATTCTGTCTTCATTGAATGCATTTGATCCATTTTTATTTAAATTTTTTTTTATCATAATTTGGGTCTAATCAATCTTAATTAAAATAAAGATG